CCCCCCCCCCCCCCCCCCCCCCCCCCCGACATTGAAAGAGGGAATGTACCAGGAAAAAAATCTCCTTTGATTTTTCATATGATTAATCGCTGAAAGTATATAGATTGATTACAATTCACCAGAATCTCTGCTTAGAAAACCGTTTAACAATCATTTTTCCTCCAAAGGTTAATACTGATAAATTTTACCTTAGGTCAAGCCACTTTCTTTCTACACTTGCCTCCCTTTCCACAATTTGGATGTTTTAGGAAACTGATTGCTCTTAATACACCCTCTAAAGATTGAACATCAATATATAAATATTAGCTCTAGGAAAAAGAATATTTGCACCAGGGGAAATATTTGAAATTAAGAGTTTCGCGCCCAAAGTATATAAACACTTATTAAACAAGCTTAACAAGTCTTATGAATAGAGTCAACTGAATCTGAGTATTTCAGATCCATTAAAAGGGCATTAGAATAACCGCTTTCAACACACGGTTTGGGAAAATAGGAGTTTATCATAGAGGGGATCTTTCTAGAAACACTTTTTCCCTAATTCTTTTGCTGATCAAGCTTGTGTGTCATTCGCACCTCTGAATGGGCGCCAAAATCAGTAAGTGATTAGTGTAGGGACTACCTGAAATTCCTTACAAAACGATGAGCATAAAATCTATGCTTGAATTAAGCGAAATTCAGAATTGCCACGTTGCCACAAAATTCTCTTTGTAATAAAGGAGTAATTAATGAGTAATTAATCCTGTTATATATTTAACCCCGCCCCCTTCCCCTTCCCCACACCCACCCCTCACCCCACCCTTGCCCACCGATTACTTCTGCATTACCAACGTTCACCACCTAAGTAAACATAAATTTGATAAATCATATTAATTAATCATTATGCACACGGATTGCGCGGAGATTTTAATCCGTATTCATGTAAAACAAAACAAAACTTTAACTAATTAATGCACTTAACAAGGATTAATTTCAAAATCATAGCAAAATATTTTTGAAATCGATATTTCTTACTAGATATGATGCGTAGAGGCCAATTGTTAGTTTAGCTGTTGGTTAATTTCAAATGAAGGTTCACTTTAGAAAATTATCTAAAATTAAATTTCAAAAAGTTTATTGAGCAAAGATTGCTTTATATTTGGCCTACATGCTGAAAGAATCAAGTTCGATTTGAATCAAATGTATTAGACTCGAAAAAGCAGATAACTTTTAAATGTAACTATCGCACCAGTTGTTACAACTTATACAAGTAATAATTTAATTATTATCCCAAGTTACACAAAGTAATAATTCAGTTGCACCTTTTAACACTACCAGCTACGAACAACATGTAACTTGGGAGACACAGATTGAAAGCAGATTAATAAGTAAATCAATTACTATTATGGATAATCATTGGACAGATGACGACAGGTGTTTTGCGAGTGAGAGCTATAAGAACAATAAAAAGATGACTTTTGTAAAGCAACTTCAAGTACGGTTATTAATAGATCTAACAAGTGGATTGAAGTTCATGCACCGAGAACGATCAATCAATCTTGTTTCATTTAGTTACATAGACACATCCGAGATTATAGAGAGACACGTAAGCGCTTAAACATATAGAGGGGTGTTCCGGTTGCTAAGACGGTCGCACCAACCAACATCCCTCGTTGGCTCACACCCTCTCAACCAATCGTCGTATCTTACCAATCAGAATAGAGTGCATCACACATTGGTTATTGCCATTAATTTTCGCGCTCATTTTATCAAGCCTTGTATGATTGGTGCTCCTAGCGAAAGCCCGTAGACGGACAGCACGTAGATTGGTTTACAGCCCTTCCACCAATTGGATGATACTCCTGGGCATGCATGAAAGAAAGTAGGGTGGCGTTTTGCGTAGTCATATTACTTCGTGCTGACTTGAATACGTCTGTTTAACGCACGCAAAGCTCTTATATCTGCACATATATTACTCAGACGTGAAACTTATGTACACTCTGTGGGTATTGACACCCATTGCGGCATTGCTATAAATAGAAAGACCTCTACTTCCATTAAACATCCATTGAATATACGGATCTTCACGAAACCATTTGTGATTACTCACAAAATCTTCAACAACCTCTCAAGATGAATCGTGGCAGTAGAAACCGCAATTCGAAAATCTACACTGTTGAAAAACTGCTGGAGAAACGAGTCAGAATGGTAAGCAGCAAGGACAAGAATATTAACACCCTTTTGATCCCCCAAGACACTTTAAAGCTAGCTATTTCGAGATTTGCAGACAGATTAATTATTTTTACCACTTCTAGCACTTTAATAATGATCTAATCAAGCTTTATTTTACCTTATTTTAGAACCGAGTTGAATATCTGGTAAAATGGAAGAATTGGAATGACAAGTAAGTATCTAATTTTATTTAAATAAGCCCAGCTGATTTGGTTAGTTAGACTCGCAAATTTTACCATGCAAAGCTATGTTTGAAGCAAACGCGCTTAGTTCTATGTGCTAACGTACGCTCTACACGCACGTGCGGTCGTGTGCCTGCTTCTCGCGTGCATCCGCGTTGGTTTGACGATCGATAGGCCCATCTAAGTGGTTGGCAGGCCATTGATTAATCACACGCCTTCGGGTTATGCATGCATTGCTATAACAGTTAGTGTGCGTTCGTATATCTACTTGCTAGTACGCGAGCACTTGCGTGCGGCTAAACTAGCCTTGCAAAGGCTTAGAATCACGCTTTTAGTGAATATCGCTCAGCTAGGCAACCTTAAACATAAGAGAAAATTCAAGCTATTTCGCTTGATTATCACCTCCTAACTTAGTCATTCTAGGGGGTTTATGGCAAATTAAGTTAATAAATCCTATAGATTAGGTCCTCTTTTATCTAAATCTAGGCTTTGGCTGTTGAAAAACGCTACAAAATTGGGTGGAAAATTCATCCTGTTTTAAACGAAGTTTCAATCAGTATGGCTATAAGCGCATTTATGGTAGTTTAAGTGGATGAATATTGAAGATTATGCCTCAAGTAGTTTAAATTCTCGGCTTTATCTAAAATTGCTCAATGACTTTGCTGAATCGTCTTCTTGTTGGTTTTCACTTAAATTAGGACGCCTGCTTGAAAATTACCCATTTAGCAAGTCCAGATATTGATTTCTAAGTGCTATGTCCTGCTATATCCGTATCTATTATTTTTCTATCTTACTAAAGTTTTGAATCTCACCCATGTGTACGTTGGAGTTTTAATATTAGCATGAGAGCCATTTTTCCTTATCTTAGTGACGATTTAATAACACTTTTAGCTCGCCAATGCTATAGGATTGGGTCTGTTTTATCCTTGACAAGTTTTGAAATTCGTGTTTCTCTTGTTTATTTAATTAGTTTGGAAGCTATGACCGGTATGCAGTAGATTAAAAGTCGATTATTTCCTTGTTAGACATAATACGTGGGAACCAGAAAAGAATATTCTCGACAAAAGCCTTATCGAGTCATTCTTGAGATCAGAATCACGAAAGCGGAAATTTATCTCATCTGCTAACTCCAGTCGTCCTCAAAGTCCTTCCAGTGAGTTGAAAAGGAATAAAAACACGACAGAAGAAGCGTTATCCAATCCGCCGTTGAATGAACCTTTAACGGTTAACGTTTCTGCAACAAAAAACGTCCTGCCATCAGTTCATTCCGGCTCTAGCTCAGTGGGAGCTGCTACGAATTCCTCCTTGTGTTCTCCTCAAGGATCCAACTTGGAAAGCGCCCCCTCCTTCAGCGCTACAAACAACGATGTATCCGAATGGAAAGTAGATACCCGATTGCGTCCAACAACCCTTCTCGTTACCGCGGCGTCAGAGTCTGCAGCCAACACTAGAATGGCCGCAAAATCGCCTTCTGTATCTACTCAATCCCAAGTAAGTTTATAGCCCAAATATTACCTTGATTTAATTTCTATCGTGTGCCAATATTTCCCTCTTGTTCACTCCTTACTAGACTACGCCCTTAGAACAGCCTCGAATTCGATTAAAAATTCCCCGCGAAAGGATCATCTCCACCCAATCCAGTTCTTCGGACTCCTCTTCAGAAGATGAGTCAACGTTGGATGATATTGAGCTTCCCCGTCGAGCAATCGACCACGCAGAGTATGCTTACGTTCCAAAGAACCTGGACGTACCAATCATTAAGCCATACTCTCCTCCTTCAGTGGGTATTAAGCCTCCAAAACGCTCCGGAAATCGATCCAAAAGGAAGGAGAGGCGCTATTCGACGTCAGTTTTGCCTTCCACTAATGGTGCTCCTGATGGGCCAAGAAGACTAGCTCCCCTTCGAATTCACCTCTCCAAAAACGGAACCTTCTTGGCCAGCTCTGTGTCGCCATCTTCAACTACGTCTTCCTCGTCAAATGTCATTATTCCACCTCCACCTCTAGAACGTGATATATCGATTACCGATGTGACAATTGGAGGATTGACAGTGACAATCAAGGAATGCTCTACTCCGAAGAACTTTTTTGGAATTCCTACTTCTCAAGTGGTTGTTGTACCCAACCCAAGACCTCCTCTAGTTCCTAAGGCGATAATTGTAGAGGAAAAGATTCCAGAAGTTGTTGAGACCCCTAAAATGCCCCCCACTGGTGATAAAACTGCTCAGGTAGATGAGAATAATGAACCTAAAGAAAGGGCAGAGGCTACATCTCCTGAAACTTCTCAAGAAAAACCTACCCCACCCATACAACAGATACCAGCGATTCACTCAAGCTCGATCCCCAAACCGGTCTCCAAGAAACTCGGTCGACGGGGTGGATCGTCGAGAAAATCAGCAAATCCGGTAAAAAAGGTGGTCCAAATTGACCCCCTACCAACTTGTGGCAGTGCAGACAATGTCTATGCCTTCCATGAAGAAGATTCTCCCCCGTCGACGGGTATTCCTTTTCCAAATCCACCTCAAACCCTTCCTCCTCCTCCTCCTCCACCACCACCACCGCCTGTTAGTCGCGTCACTCCTCCCTCTCATCCTCCTCTCCCTCCACCTGTTAATCCCACTTCGGAAAGCATCCATTCATCTCCACCTCCCATCATTCAAATGAACCCTCCTAATCCCACTACCATTCCACTAGCTTCCATTTTTACACCCTGGGAGTCGTACCTCAAGACCGCTGGGCTCTTTCCTCCGCCAGATTTCTTATCCTCACCTCCACCTCTCACTTCACCGGGATTACTTTTCTCGCCGGGACACTTTTTGCATCCCCCCGCTCAATTTCCTGGTTGCAGCACCACCAGCAGCTCCCATCCAGTGTCACCCTTCTTCCATCATATCACGACTCCTCCTGCTCCATCGAACCTATTACCCGCAGTGATAACAACGATGGGTGGTGCATCAGTGACGATGCCGATGATGGATGAGTCACAGCCCATCGATCTGTCGAAAACTGGTCCAAAACAATGAGGAGGTGATAAGCGGGTTTATGTATACACTTCTATACATATACATATATGGTATTCAGTCGGCGAGAGTGGATTACTATTATTGTTATTATTATTATCATCATTATTACTATTACTATTATTACATGTATATTTTGAAACTGTCGACTCTGCTTTATTAATCAGAGATTAAAATACATATTGATTTTCTATTTGTTTTCTTCTGAATGTGCTCTTTTGGGAGGGGAGGGGAGGTGTCTGAAGAACACTGTATGCAAGAGAGATCTGGCTATCTTTAATGGCGATGAATAGAAAAGTTTTCCAAGAAGAAATGAAATGGATTGAGGTATGGAACGAGAACTATTGTTGGAATCGGGCACCGAGATTCTAATGCGAGGTATAGCGAGGTTTCATGATTTGATCCCCAGATTCCTGGGATCATTTTGAGTTTGCTGACCACTTGATTTAATTGGTTGATTGATCATACCCTCCTTTTTTCCCATTAGAGTCCCCTTACATTCAAGAGTTAGTGAAAGTGGCAGGAAGGGGAACTTATCAAGGAGCACTAAGCTTGTTCCCCTGATTTTCATTTTGTCTCCAAATAGGGGACATTTCAGTTGCATCGATTGGTCAGAAGAATAGTTCGATGAATGAGCACTGGAAAATATTAAATTAGTGCCATGGCAGGTGTGTTACGCCAACCACAATGAATACTAGCAGTTTTTCTTTAGAAATCAATACGGTTGAGTATAGAAGTTGTCTGTTCAAGGACATTCGGAAAAAAACATGTATTTAAATTCAGAAATAAAGCGACCAGCTGTCTTTATTACAGTTGTTGGAGATCGTTGGAGACTTACCTTAAAAAGAAAGAGGAGTTAACCTTGATTGACAGCTTAGTTCTGGCAGATATTGGTCGACAGCTTGAACTTAATATCAATAAGTATGGTGGAAACTAAAAATCCAATTGTTTCTTTTACTAATCGCTTCCTCTAACTTATTTGTGACTATTAATGAAGGAGTCTCTTTAACCGACCAAAATAGTCCATTTTAAACACATTTATTGCAAGGAGAGCTTTTCTCGCACTCTCAGATGGTATTTTAAAGCGAAAAGAATTCTCGCTCTTATTAGATTGGGACGTCCAATGTGGACACACTGAATTTGCCTATTTTCCTGTCCTTAAATAAGGCCTTCTGCCCCNCCCCCCCCCCCCCCCCCCCTATGGTAGACTCTCTTAAATCAACCAAACCGTGAATCCCATAGACAGCCACCTCCCAATATATGAAATAAAAATAAGCTATTTGCAAAGTAATAATTTGGAAAGATTTGGGTGAGTTGATAAGGTGATGATGATCTTGATGGCAGATAGCCAAATTTTGATGCGGTTGCTCGCTAACCCCATTCCGACCACTCATGTCCCATGTGATTCGATCTTAAAACTGTACAAGGCCACACGCACGCACACACACACACATACACGCACACACAATCGGAATTCTGTTCTTTCCTGAAATCGGGTTAAGCCTCGTCTCAAGATTGCGTTTCAAGTAGCCGTTGTCTGAAGTTCATAATGCTTGGACCACCCAAGTCATTACCTTATCTATCGATGAAATCGATAGGTGGACACAAAGGGCTACAGTTTGGAGGCAATTCGTTTGATTATACATCGATGGGTGTAAAAAAAGTGATAATAACCACATTCACACACGAAGTTCGCAATTGTTGGTGGGTAAATAGACCGATTGGTCTTGTTACACACATAGATCGATAGTTCGTCCCTCGTTTTGATCAATTTATTCATCTGAAATCCGTGGGAAATGGCACAAAGGCGACATCTACCTACCATGAGAATATTATCAAAGCCAAAGAGCTTCAATTATACTGCCATAGAAGTGTGTTAGAACTTGTATTCATCAATGAAAAAGCAAATATCTGACCCTACTCTTTGACATGATGATGCAATCTGCGGTTCTCAAACAAAAGACAAATGACCCTGGCTGCTGATGACAAGTTCCAACTGTACAAAGCCTCTAACAGTGAAATTCGTGCCAACTCTTAATATTAAAGGTCCTACTAAAAGAATTAAGGGGGGGGGATTGCGAAATTGTAGACGTCTTGACATAACCATGGAATTCGCCATCATGCGCTCTTAGTGGTAGTTGCAATTAAACTTGATAAATTCAAATGGGTTAATTTAAAAAAAAAAAACAATATGAACTTGTGAGCCAAAAGGAGCGAAACGACTCGACACATAATCTCCAAAAAAAATATCCATTACCCAGGTGTGCTGTTTTTTTGCACATTTCACCAGCTTTGACAATTTATCTCCTTGCGCCATAATTGGATACTTTCGATGATGATGAATAGATGGAGAATTGTCATTTCGCGGAAAGCAGTTAGGGGAAAGGTTTAATTGTAAGCTAGTTAGCGTATGGACTGGCGTTTCAAATAAGTTCAGGCGTGGAATTTGAATGACATTTCAAAGTATTATTTTCGATCTCCTTGGTAAAAGTCAAGTTGGTCAGTTGAAGGCTCCAGTTCGTTGAAATACGGACTGTATTCTGATTTTCTACTGAACTAATGAAATAAATATTAGTGTGCTACGGGGCACCTACTGCACAGACGTTTAGTAAATTTTGCCTGATTTTTTTTCTGCTATCCGATAGAATGCATCCAATGAATCCTCATGTTCAAAGGCATGCAATTGGCTCAAAAATCGATAAATGAGTGGTCAGATTGGTCTACCATACTAAGGCATCGGCCAGAAATGATGCTACTGGCGGGGATAATCAATAATTTCTGTTTTGGGTAAAAGTAGGATTGTCGAAACAATGAAGACGACTTGATCCTCAATAGAAGATCCCCGTTTCAAGAATACATTGACGAGTAACATTCTTGGCTATCTTCGCGTCGATGTGGTCCTCCCAATTCCAAATCACAATAGATGTCAATCAATACGATTTTATTCACTCAGTCATTCAGAGAATAGTAATTTCAGCTTGGCTGCACGGAGAAATGTAGGATAGCGGTATTTTTGATGCTCAAGGAATGATCGAGTAATGGAAGAGTAGGTGAATAGGCTATAGTAGACCGTTACGAAATCTTGCTAATCCTTATAGGCTCGATCAAATAGCATGCAAACTTTACAGTGTGTAGGTAATGCGGCACAATCCTAGAATTGAGGCGTCTGGAAATCGATTTAGAACACTAATATCTTCCAGGTCTATTCTGAGACGTTTTTACCCACACACATCTTGGTTACATAAGTACCATTAAGGTACCTCTCTCCGGGGAAATTTGAACTTTAGCGCTTCACTTATAAGCCAGTCTTAATCAGAGAGGCATTCACTCATCGGCTATGCAAAGTCCACTTTTTTCAGAAGTGACCTTTAACTTCTCAAACGAATTCTACTCTACTTTTGCGTACCCATTAGAGGTTGTTTTAATGGGACTCACAATTGGAAAATGTACCTTTCCCAAAGAGGGTTAGAAGTACTGTTAATTTAAGTTACAAACGCAGAAACAGAGACCAGATGTCGAATTGAGCAGCAGATGGTCTGTGTGCGTGTGTGTGCGTGAGGGCCATGATGAAATGCAAATCAGTTCACCCGTCTTCTTCGTCTCCTCCTCCTCCTCCTCCTCCTCCACGTTTTCTCCTTATTAACATTTATGCAATAATTAATGCACCACAAGTTGTAGATTTTGTGCGTTTGCTTGAGGCCACAAATTCAATTGTACCCATAAGGGAGGGGGGGGGGGGGGGGGGGAA